TCCCCTCTTGGAAAATCCACCAGCAAAGAGGCTGTTAATAGGATGGAAACAGTAAAAACCTTGACCCCAACAGAAGCAGGAGCAGACCCTGCCTGCTCTTGGTGGATGGGAATTTTGACTTGGCAGAGCATTAGCTTCCTTAACAAAATCCTTCCTCTTGTCAGGTGAATCGTGGGGAATATTTGGCAGTGGGCAGTAGAAAAAAATGGCTATAAATCACAGGAGACTATGTCCTGCAGGAAGAAGGAAGAGCAGGCAAGAATGTAGAGATAAAAATCCTTTAAAAAGTCCCAACTAACAAAAATTGTGACACACACTGGAAAAATTCTCTATGAAAACCATTATCTACTAACTGTCTCCCATTTCCTACGGAAATATTGAAAAAGCAAACTATTTTAAGACCTGACACAACTTGGAAAATAGGATGGGGGAAGGTTGTGAAAAATTTGTCCGTTTTGACCTTCCACATCATAGAAGGTTGTAAACACTGTCTCAGGACCTAGGATATACACCACAATCTTTCACCCTCTCTATTCCCTGAAAGTCACTTTTTAACAAGATGCACATATTTGTGTCCAGAATGTAGCCCTCTGCCACCACAGGCACAGATATTTAAAAGTCTAAATCAGCTAAGGTCAAGGATGGATATGCTGGTGTAAGAGCCTCTAATTGCCAATACCCAGGTGGCAAGATTTGTCTTTGCTTTGTCTTTCAAAGGCTAGTTCCTTGCCAGAAGGAGACTTTCTATATATGCATGACACAGGGCGAGGGGCAGTTTTTTGTTGCTTCCATTTATTTTTTTTTTTCCCCTAAGTTCTATGAAGAGCTCCCTCTGGTTCTTTGGAAGATCACTTGAGATGGAAAGGTCATCCATAATGGGTAGCTGGCTAAAATGCAGATGCACAGTTGACTTGGCTGTTTTGAACAGCTTTTGCAAACATGCACAGCACTGACCTAATATCTTCCCCACTTTACTCTGTAAAAGCTCATGCTTTTGTTTAACGCTATGAAGTTTGAAAGCTTGGGGGACAGGAGGGACCAGCAGTCTCCTAACGCTCACCCTAAGACCTTGTCTGTTTTGCAAAGAGAGCTGGGTTTGAAGGACAAAAGAGGGGTACTACTCTGGAGCAGCTGGTCTCCTCCCCAGACTGCTGAAAACCTGGCCCCTCACCTCAGTCTGCAGGGAGAAAGAGACTGATGCCACACAACAACTGAGGCACTTTACTGCTCCCTGTGAGATGGAGTGCAAAGATCTTTGTCACTGGATTGTCCGACACAGATTTTAGAACAAAAGTCAGTAATGATTTTAGATTAATACATACTCCAACCAGGAATAATGGTAACAGACATTTAATTCATGCACTGCTAGGAAAGCGAAATTTATATCTTTGCTCTATCTGAAAAATGCACTGTGCTTTTGAGAACACATAATCCTAACAAAGAAAAAAAAAAAAGATAATAACAACTCTGTGTCCTTTAATTCAATACTTGTAGGTTTAATAATAGATTTTCAATCCACTTCCCTTTTTTATGCTGAGACAACTACAGTCTGATTTAGTGAATCTCTTTGATTTGTAATCCTGATTGTTATATTATTAATATGCCCTTGATGCAAGGAGCAGGATAACTTAAAAAAGTGATCAGCTATTTGGCTTGGCATTTGTGACCTTGGTCAGAGGACGTGTTATTTACAGGAAGTTTTCTGGAGCATCTGCAAGTAAATCAGCTCTGAAATGCAGCTTAATAGTTTAGGGCAAAGCACATTTAGTTTCAAATTCCCAGGAATCTCCAGCTTCAGACGCAAAGTGCATTTCCACAGATGGAAGCTGACATGTGGAAATGCCACCACGACTACTGTTCAACTGACCTTTGGTTTAGGGCCAGCTGCCAATGGGAAATGCCAAGCTGTTACTTACATTCATTCAAAAGAAGTGAGAAAACTGCAGAGACTTGAAAGGAAAAAAAGGGGAAAAGGTGTGGTCTTGCCTTTGGGAACCTAGCAAGAGATGAAAAGCCTGCAGACTCCAGCAAACTCCTCAGCCCTATGAGGAAACTCCTTTCAAAAGAACTGCCAAGAGCAGCACTACGTTCACTTTGCACTGCAGAACTGCTCCCAAGCCTCTGCTCACTGCAGCCTGGCACTGGGGAGGATGGGTGCAAAGAGGCTATACAGCATCCTAGGGAAGAATATCCTGAGGCATCCAGGGCCTCTCAGGGACCTGTGAGCACCCTAAAGCCAGCACAAAGTGGCTTATTTGCAAGAGCTGGCCAGGCTACATCCTCAGTGCGGCAGAGCAAGATGATTTTTCTCCTTCTCCAGCTCTCTTACATCAACAGAAAAGACAGAGCCTGGGCTTTGCACAGCTTGCTTGGTGTGGAAAGCAGTGGTGATTCCAGCTGGAGTTCAAAATAGCTCTTTTCCTAATAGCAAATACAGGAAAGAAAATGCAACCCCCTGGAACCAGGCACTGGAACAAAATAACCACTCCAGAGGTTTAACAGGAAAACATCTTCCAGAAACAGGTTAACTGCTTCAGAAAGGGATTATCCCATTACTTGGAACACATTTATTGTCCCTGCTGTCACAGCAGGAGAGTTACTCCACAAATTTTCTTGAATCCATATCCAAGACAAAGCAGCATGAGTAACACATCTCCCTGGCATCTCTGCCTTCTTCAAAACCAGAGCAATTTATTTGTTTTGCTTTGTTTAATTTCAAATTGTCTGTCATCTTTCTGGATTTTTGGGGTTTATTCTGCTGTTCTCACGAGTCATTCAATGTAGCAGACAGGCTTTAAAATTCATGGGAACTCAAACTGGCGGAGAAGCCCTGTGGTTTTGAAGTCAATTTTCTAATAATGGACCAAACCTTGGTAGGGGAGGCTTCCCCACCAGCTCCAAATAAAGGACTGTGGTCTTTTCCCAGAAACCTGTAGCTGCCCTGGGGTCCACAGAGGGAAGTGCAAGTACAAGGTAGGAGGATTAAGGTAGAAGTTGAGGCAGCAATAAAACTCTAGCCAAAGCAGACAAGGGCTTTTATAAGCATGGCACGAGATAAAGAGCTAAGAAGAAGCACATCCTGGAAAGCACATTAGGCAAGAGGACAGAAAGATGTAATTAATAAGAACTGACAAATGGCTCAGGGTTTGCAACTGCTTGCTAAGACTGGAGAGAGCAGCAGTGGAAAGGAGACCTGCAAGTGTACATCCTCTTCAGAGGGTACTGAGCCCTTGCCAGCGACTGTGGAAAGAGCAGGAGCTCCTGGCAGCCACTCAGCTGTGATTCCCTATGGCCACAGAGGGATATACATTCCTCCACCTGTCATTCACCCCCCAGACTCCTCCTCGGAGAGGTGCCAGGTTACATCCATAGCTTCCCTACAGTCACACATGCATTCTCCTGTTTGCACCAATGCAAGCACACATCCAGGCTGGGGGGAGCCAAGGTTCACATCCACCTGCTCTGACTGAAGAGCAATTTCAGTCATAACCTCTGGTCTTTAAGGAGAGACTTGAATCCAGTCTGGGGTGTTCAGAGCCAAGTCTTTTGACTACAGCTTTCCTGTAGGCCCTGGTGTGAATTGCCTGTAGCCATTGACTCACACCCCCTCCTTCCCCTCCTTTCTGCTGCTGCATGCTTCTCATGCAGACAGGAGCATTTACTTTTCCATTTTTAAGCCAAATGAGTCACTCAAAGCAGACAACAGGAGCTTGAACAGCTGAGCTGGAAGAGACTGTCAGTCTCTGACCTTGACTGGAGATGAGTCTGGCAGCACACTTACCTTTCAAGACAGGAAACAACTGTGTCCGTGTCCTTCCACATATGCCTTATGCCTGGGGACAGAGTTGCTCAGCCTGGCAGGATTTCACTGCTCTGCATTTGCAGACTGATACCTTACTTCCTCTGGGAAATAAGACCCTCAACCAACAAATTCAGTGCAGTTCCTCTACGTCTGTAACACCTCTTAATGCTTACAATATCCTGCAATTTACAGTCACCTTGCTAGGCCTGATCCTAAGACAGAGCTGTATCATAAAAGCAACTGTGGGCTGATGGGTACCTTAGAAGCATAAATGTTTATTTTGCACTGAAAACAAATTCAGCCTTATCAGTAGATGTACTTTAAATTGCTTTGTGGAGTACTTCACATTGCTTGGTGTACTTAACATATGCATGGAGGATGTTGCATTGTCTGACTACTGTCACTAAAAAAATGTACTCATATACATGTAGAATATGAAAAAAGGGCCTGCCAATGCTGCCTGCCAAGCAAGTTTAATGTTGCAGTACAAACTTATCCTGATACAAGCCAGATTTTGCCCCGGTACCACAATCTCTTGTTCATCAAAAAATTCCATCAACTTCCATTAGAGTTGTCAAAGATGGTATAGCCCAGGCTTTCATCACTTGCCTATGTTTAAGCACATGAGAAGTCAATGGGATGGTTTGAAGCAGAGTGTCTCCCTCTGTGGGGGAAGCTCTGTGTATGATTTAGTAACACTTGGAGAACACATTAGCATCCTACACATGAGAAATGAAATCCAGATCTGACCAAAATGTGGGGCGTTTGGCCATTTTGATGGGTTTATTCTCGGTTTTTTTTGCAAGTGTTTTTCTGAAGTCAAGTTTTCTCTGTGAGCGAAGTCCATTGCAACCTCTGAGTGTAAACAGATGGGGGTGAAGGTATTTTACCTGTAATAACATGTTCTACTTATTGTTAAAGGAATGTGAAAACACTCCTATGAGAATCAAGTCAAATAATCAGGGCCAGCCCATACACAGATGAAAATCATTGGGAAGTGAACTACATCTGTGAGAATGCCTTTGTCATTCCTGCTTGTCCAAACAGATCAATCAGCCCACCCTCTTGCTGTTTTACAGTGCTACCACTTGACAGCTTTGTTCACATGCTGCTTTTGCCTAAATCACACTAATCGGCTGGCCAGATAAAAGTTATTACCAAAGTTGAAGAAGTATAAATACACAGCTTCTTCTCTTACCTTCCACTGAGAAGGAAACCGATAACAACAGCCAGCAGAATGACTCCCACTGTTACAGACACAACAATTATAGGAATCTGGCTCTGGTCGCTGGATGCAGCTACTGCTGAGATGAGAAAGAGAAAATGGAGATTAGGGTTAAAATGACAGTCAGCACTCATGAGTCTTTCTAGTGAGGCTGCCAGCGAGGTTTCAAGTCTTACCAGTTAACTTCTTCGTTTATAGTTTGTGTTTTCCCCTTTTGCTGTCTGTTTCTAGTTTGGAAAGGATACGGGTGGAAAGGAAACAAAACCACATGCAACACTAAGCCAAAAACCCAACAAGATTGCATCTCATTGCTGAATCCAGAATCCAAAGCGTTGCAGAATGCAGCCTTTGAGCTTGTGAACTGAAGTTTTCTCTCCCTGAGTTAGCCACATTAGAAATCAGAGATAAAAGATGAAAACCCAACAGGCTCTCATTTGGATGAAAACCCAACAGTCAGAGAGAGCACTCATGGAATGTTACTGCTAACAGACATAAGCAAAATCTTCAAGATAAAAAGAATTACCTGCACTTCAAGAAGCTATAAACAATTATAAACTAACTCCTTGTGGCATCTCTATCACATGGCCATAAGGTGCCCTCTGTAAAACAGGAATTTGCTAAGACACATAGACTGCTTGGTCTTTTTATTGGCCAAGACTTGGGGGGAAAAAAACCTCTTCCAGTCAGTGCCTTGTAATGTATCTTGCGTATCTGCCCTACACGGCAGGGGAAGGAGCCTGTTTCCCCCCAGGGGTTTGTATGTGGAGTTCCCCAAGGAGAAACCAAAGTCTCCTCACCTTGCCCTCTGTGCTGCCAGCTTATTTAGCTGTATGTATATAACCACCCCAGGGTACAAATGTCACATCCTCCCTGCAAAACCAGCTCCCTGGCACAGGCACCACTGCTCTGTGGGGGTAAACCTCATTATAGCTCTTAACCTCATGCCAGCCCAGGATGAAGCCTCATCCACCCCAGAGAGCAGCAGGAATTGATTGCGTACTGAAGAAGCCTTTAACTAAGAATGACTGAACTAAAAAAGGGTCCTTAGCACAGGATTAATGTTATGAAGGCTATAAAATAACTGAATATAGTCCCATATTAATTGTTAAAGGAAAAGAAAGACAAAAAGGTATGGCATTAAACATTGATCTGCACTGGGCTTCAAGTAGCTCTTCATATGGGAGCTCTCTGGTGCTTAACCACGAGCGGTGTGGATCTGCTACAGCAGTGTAAGTGACTTCAGAAGGACTGGTCCTGATGTATTAAATACATAATGTTAACTGCTCCAAACCCCTGCCATCATCCAGAGATTTTATTAGCCTCACAAAGTTATGGGGGCTCCTTAAGATGGTGTTTTATTGCTTTCTTGACAAAATAATTAAAAAGAAAAACATTTAAAGGAGAACATTAAGCAGAGATTTTTTGCACAGCTCAAGGGATGGGGAAATGAGATAAATTCCGCTATGATCTATGGCAGATGAAAAGCCTGAATTCATAAGCCAAGCTGGGACTTGCTGCCATTCAAAGTCAGGGACACAGACACACACACACACCTGCATTACCCCTTCTCATCTTGGTGATATGCTCCTACTCCAGCCCAGCAGACCAGCTAGATCAGCTCACCAACCCAGGCAAAACCAAACCAAGAAAACCTTGGCAAGATAAGTTTTTGGGGCTAGACGAGCTTGGTGGCATTTGGAAAGGATGAAGCAACAAGTGGATACACCCAGGAACAACTTCCACTCAAATAAAACAAACAAAAAAAATCACTGAAAATTGAAGCCCTGGCTGCTTCATGGTGCTTTGCAGAATTGCAGAAGCAGGAAGTATGCAAAAATTCCCAAAATCTGGAAAAAGAGGGAAGTCCAAAACATCTTACAGCTTTCCTCCATTGCATTTCCCAGGCTGTTGTTGTATAACTCCGCCAAATGTATTAAAGATAACTATAGAAACCTTGTGAACTGGAAACAAAACCTGTTGTTCAGTACAAACAACTTGGAAAGCATTTTAGTTTCTCAGAACAGCCACTGAAAGGTTTTCATTTGTGCTTGAATAAAAATCATTTGCTCTGGCTCTAACAAGAAGCTCAGATCTGTACTCTGATGTAGCAGTGAGATTTCGATCTGTGCTTGCTTTCAAAATCTCCAGGATGTGCAGGAAAGCAGTGGGAGTCTGGTCACTCTCCTGACACTAATATTGACTTTATATAGGGCTTTGGGGAAAATAAATGTTTTTTATAAGGTTTTAAATGTCAAACAGAGCTGTGCTTTGCAAGATACTGAGGCTTACATTGTATTTCAATCCCATCAAGCGTTAAAGTATCTGGTTAAGTCAGGCCTCAGCCAGAGCCCGTGTCCAACAGATGAACAATTCCCACTTCCAAAACTGGGGACCATGCAGTAGGTATTCCTCTGACTACACCAGCAACTCCTTAATGTCAGAGAAGTACCTATTCCTCTGCCTTTAAAATGTGAAAAAGACTGGGATATGGGTATGACTAAATGACCCACAGAATTCCTCGTGTTTAAAAATATTTCCATGTGATGTCCTCCAAAAGTCCTGATTAACACAGATACTTACATGATGGCCTTTATGAAAATGCCATTATTTTTGGACCAGGATCATAGCTAATAGATCAAATATGCATATATTTCATGTGTTACTCATTAATAGACCAGAACACTATTACTCAAACAACTCTAAGCAAGAAACTTTCCAACTGAGAAAAACTATACAAAATAATTTTTGGGCATAACATGATTTGGTTGCTACTTACAGGGCACAGTTAATCGTTACAACAATAAGAAATTCATTAAATAGACTGTCCTTAATGCATTAATGTTTGCACTGTGACGCAATTTTCACTGTGTTAGCTTTATCGCTGGCTCCACAGCTACATTTGCACATGCCTAATGACTCCTTGAAAATCTATTATGGCTTCAAAGGTAGCATGAACTAAAAAGACAACTCTGGCATCATCTTCTCAAAGATGATGAATTTTAAATAAACTGGACTAACAGTAACCAAAGTATTGATGAATTTAAATTTCCAAGGAAAACACAGAAAAGAGTCTTTTTCCCACAGGAAGGATCAGAGTATTTCCACCACAAAATTCCTCTTCTATGCACACAGTATAAAAATTAATAAATGACAGCTGTACAAACTAAAAGAGAGAAGACATATTTTCTGGTGGACAAAATTGTATCTGACACCTCGGCAAAATTCTGTATTTTGGACAAAAAGAATTTCCCCACAGCTATGCCTAAACACAGAAGAGCAGCTGAGCCTCTGCGTGCCTTAGGAGTTCACCCAGCCACAGAATCTGTTCCAGAATCCAGCCCTGGATAATCAGATGCATTAAAAAAAAAAAAAAAAAAAGAAAATTAAAAAACCCACAAATGTAACAGGCCAAGAAGAAGTCCTGCACCTGAAGTGCAGATTTTTTTCCATTCCTGATAACAAGTCAACGTCCTTGCATTGAGGCTGTGGCATTGGCAGCCAACAGAAACAATCTTTTAACTTGACAGGAATTTTCCCCAAAAAACACAAAAGACACTAATGCTGGTTCAGCTCTTCCCCTTGCAGAGAGGCACCATTTCAGGGTTTTGCCCCCACAGATGTAGATATTTAAGAGAGCTCAGCATCCTCTGCAGACAGCCTTTAAGGAGCAGGTCCCATCCCCTCTGTCCCTCCTGAGAGGAAAGACTCTCTTACACCAAGCTCCTGTAAACAGAGGATTTTTCTAAGCATGGAATGCCATGAATTTCTGAAGCCTGAAGATCTCCTGCCTCACCACGAGGAAGCAAAGGACAGATATGTCAAACGCAGAGTCACGACGCGCCCGATGTTTCCAAAGTCAGGGGATGAAGCCAATAAAAGGAAGCGCTCTCTGCAAAGGTATCGATCCCCTGACTAGTTTCTGGTAAGCACAGCAGAGACAGGGGCTGACAGTAATTAAAGAGACTTACACACTGGGCTGGTTTCGAACTCGAACCTTCGGCTGAAGCCCCCGTAGCCGGCAGCTGTCCGGGCTCGGATCTGGAAGACGTACGCTGAGCCTGGCTTCAAGCCATCCGCCGTAATCGTCGTCTCTTTCGACCTGATGATGGTGTAGCTCGTCTCCTGGTCCTTTTCCCAACACCCCCCAAAAAAACACAGAGTTCAAACACACAAAGAGTGGCTCTCAGAGAAGACAGACTCTTAACAACCCCCAGAGAAACACTAGAGAAGATGACTGAATCGTGCATTTTTGAGGATTTCTTCCTCAACCCCGCCTCCCCCGCCCCTCTCAGAAGGTACTTTCTGCAGTACAAAATGTGAGATTTTCTCTTTTATAATCAATGATTCTAGGAGGCATGCAACTGGCATCTGCAGTAGAAGCAGCTTTCCACGGCTCGGGATGTACATGGCCTGGGGCAATGGAAAGTTTTATCATACAGAGATCAATCCCAAGGCACAGGGAAGATAAAGCAAGCCCCGTTGCCTTAAAAAAGGATTTTGATTTACACCAAAAGCGGCTTCCCAGTAATGTAAGTAGGCCTAAAAGAGAATAATATATTACACACTGTACAACTTTATGCCTGCGTTTCTACAACCACCAATTAGACCTTGGGAAGGGAATAATAAACCAAAACTGCAGGAAAATACCTAATTTTTGCACTGTTCTTCTGAAGCAATGAACTTGAAGAAAAATTGCTGAAATAAATCTTCATCTACATCAGTTTCTAATGTGAAACAGTTCCAGTTCTTTGATTAAAATTTTGTTGAAATGCTAAGTAATTACTCTTAGAATTATTTACTGTAACACATAATCTAGACAAGAGCTCATAAATTAAGGTCTACAAATTTGGAAACTGCTTTTTATTTACCATATCCTCTCAGATCCAAATTATTATGAGCTAAACCAGAGTTTTTAGCAGTTTCTTACCAAGATTTCTGGATAGCTCTTAGAATCTGAGCTCATTTTCCTTTTTGCTTTTTAATTTAAAGGGCAGCTTCCCATAGACAGCAGTATGCCTGGCAAAGGCACTGGGAATTTTTTACATGTAAGATTACAAAATTTCTCAGTTGAAGCCTGTTTTGGAGAAATGTGTACAGACAAACACACACATATCTGCCCTTTTTTTCTTATTAAGGAGTGATCCCTCTTACAGGAATGAAAATCTGATGAAACTCAGTTTTCCCAAAAATTGAATATAAATCATTCTTGTCCCTTGGAAATGAATGTGAATTTACCCTTATGAAGGGCTGAAAACAGAGAATATAAATTATAGTAGCAACAAAGAAAAAGGATTAAGGGTAATATCCTCAGCCTATCTCAACTACTGGTTAAAAAGTAGTAAGTGAATATTAGGTCACATCTTTGCTTGTATGTCAGCCAATTAACTTTTCAATACACTCTTGGCTTCTGCAAACACTTGGACTCTTGAGCTTTTCTATGAAAAACACTAAGCTTCACTCTCAGCCTGAAGAAAATAAATCAAGAGAGCATAAACTTGGACTGGCTGGAGCTACCTCTCCACAAAGGACTCACTCTTGAAGAACTATCTACTGAAGCTATTTGAGACTAGTTCTGGACTACAAATAGAAGATTTTAAGCCCCCTCTCCTGCCAATTTGTTTGAAAACCAACTAAGGAAAATGAAGAAAAACACAATTCTTTTCACTTTAATTATTTGCTTTATCTTTTTTTGGTTTCTAAAAGCTATTCTTCCCAAGCCATTCCATGGTAATGATTCAATGTACCCCAAAAGTCACTCAAACAATTTAATAAAGTGATTTAGTAATGGAATATTTCCAGCAACAGAATAACCTGATTCTTGCTGTGTACTTTAATCTCCAGCCCTATTTAAGTCACTCACATATCTATTTCACAAGCTCCTTCATATGCAAAAATATTGCTGATTTTATTTTGATGGAGAAGATTTATGAAATTCTTTCCCCTGTTTGCATGGACTGCTTGAGCAGGTCCTTCCCATGGCCAGAGAAAGAAGACAGAAGGAGTAAGGATCTAGTCCTGGTCCATGTTGAGTGATGCCACCTGGATCACAGACAGAGCTAATGGAATATCTTCCATAAAACAGAAATTCAATCCCCCTAAAAATGTGAATTGTGACTCAATTTCATTATTTTCTTGTTATTTCTTGCTTTCATATAGAAAGCCTGGATGTTTCCGAGGAAAGAAGAACACCTTACAACTCCACGTAAGGCAAAGATATTGCTATTTGGTCAAATCCTGAAAACCTGATTTTTGGAAATCAAAGGTTTCCAGAGATTTAAGGGCATATCACTCAAAATACACTACTTTGATAAAGCACATTTGTAAGCATTTTTATTTAAATGACATTAATTTTGCAGGAAGAGAACAAGTCATCATATAAAATGAAGACTAGGAGAGGCAAGTTTTGTGGGGAGACTGCTTCCTCTTAAATCGAGAGAAAGAGGTGGAAAACCCAGGTGAGTTTTTAAGCCAAGATGCCCTTCTTCATATCAGAGCATATACAATCTCTCTCTACAACACCCTTCTCCTCTCCTTTCACAGTGGATGGAAAATCAAGTGAGGAACTGAAATACCAAAGGCAAGGGATTGCCTGATGTTTCTGGGTGGAGGCAGATGCTCAGCCCCCAACCCCTTCTATTTTTAACAAATGAGCAGTCTTTATCCTAATGTGATAAGGCTGGAGGGGAATCTGACACACGGATTTAATGTATTTGTTCAAGAGAAGTGGCACACTAATGGAAAACAACACCCTCTTTTCAAGTCTTCCTAATCATTTACTGCAAAATCAATCTGACATTGATTTACGCATAAAATCTCTCCATTCCCTTCCATGACTCAAAAAATAATAATAACTAAAAGAAGAAAACAATGAAGAGAAGGTACTTGGGAAGCTCAGCAATCAGTCCATCACACCTTTTCAAAATATTTGATTTCGTATTCCAGGATGATGCCATTGGGTCGATCTGGCTCCTGCCAGGAAAGGGAGATGCTATTTTTAGTTATCTTCCCTTTTTTCACAGTACTGACTGGAGAAGGTGCTGCAAGACAGGAGAAAAACAGAACAGACGAAAACCATTGTTAGTAAGATGGTCTGCCTCAGCCAAAGTCAAACTCATCAGTGCAACCTCATATGCAAGACAATCCTTAGCTACTGCAGATCAGTGGGGTCTGTTTTTATCTGGGTGGTGTTTGCCCATTTTTAACAACTGGACTTGCACAGATTTGCAGTAGCATGACCACCAAGGCAAAGTGGAAACATGAACTATTATCAAAGCTTACACATCAACCCCATCTTTTCAAGCAATTTTCAAACACATCAGCCCCACACCTTCTCTTTTCAAATGTGTCAAAGGTCTTTGTTATCAGAATTGCATATTGATTATGTTTTGCTTTCTTTTGCCTGCTTTCAAGGCATATATTTTTCAGAAGACCTTAGGTTACATGGGCTCCTTAACTCTTTTTTGGATTTTAAGTAGTTTAAGCCTAGGCATCTTTCAGCCCCCTCCTTCCAGAAGCAAGGAATATTACAACCTTTATAATTCAATTGCTCTCCATAAATATCACTGGGGTGTTATAGCTCACATAGTGATGCTAATTCCTTGCAAATGGCAAAAGGTTTTAATGGCAATCACAGTTCAGAAGTTCTCTGTGTGCTTGGGAAAGCCACAGCATGAGAGCAGCCATACCAGCGCTGCTCATTATCTTAAGATGCAGCCCTGAAAGGTTATCTGTCCTTTCCAGCACACATGTGCATCAGAAACAGGCTTGATCCTTTGTATTCAGTCCGATGTCTGCAGAGACTTTTTAAGTTGTGGTTGCTGCCACCCCTGCCAGCTCTCTAGCAAAAGTTGCTACGGGCAATGCAACCCTAACACCCCAGGTATTTCATGCCAGTGATTAGGAAACAGCACTGAGTGAAAAGAAAAGGGGACGGGAGAAATTCATAGTCTCCCATTTGTAGGGCCAAGAGCAGCTTCTCCAGAGATAAAAATAGGCCATGCCTGGATGAGGGACTTTAACTCACCCTCCACACAGGCCAGCTCCTGCAGGGATGACAGGAAGCCTGAGGAGACCCATGGCAAATACTTTTGTGGCCATGTGGGGAATGGCATGCAAAAAGCAGCAGCAAACAACCGTATTTCATCTTCCAAAATGTATTTGCAACTACAGAAAAAAATTTCTTCTATATGCAGGACTAGCTAATTATCTTAACACTATAAAAAACACCAGCCCATTAGGTAAAATAAAGACAACCAATACATGGATTTTTCCAGGTCTGATTTTAAGCCAAAGAGTAAGGGAAGAGCTCCAGACAATTATTCTTGGACTGAAGGCTAGCAGCAAGACTTCTTTGTTATAGCAAGTTCCCACATCTCAGTCTTGCTTCAGCCCCAGTTCTTTACACTCCTCTTTACTTTCCCCACTTGGCTCTTGAAGGATCCTGAAAGGTGCTGGCTATCTCCATACTGTTTTCTGCTGGAGAGCTGGCACCAAGCTGTACAGACAGTGTTTGCTTTTCAAGTGTGCATCCACCACTGTGCTCACAACTGCTCCACTGAGCGAGTAAAAACCACCTTGATTTGAATGATGATCGTGTTATTTATGCAGGCACTGCATGGTGATCACCAACAATTTTTCATCTGCAGAAGTCACCTTACCTCTCCCCAACTGACGTCCTCTACAAGTTTTTGGGCTATGTGAAGGCAAATAACAACCTAAATACTGACTGCTAAGGTGGTAAAGGAATTTCCATTAATCAGCCCAGGTGCCTAAATGTGCACTGTTCATGTGTGTGCACAGCAAGCTGAGCTGTGCACATGAGACACGCGATCCGTGCACACGTGCACGGTCAGATGTGCTAGCTCAAAGAAGTAAGAGCTCCATTAAAACAGAATGAAGCCCCCTCTGATACAAGGGAGCTACACAGTTTTTAGGGATGTTGGATAACAGCCTCGCTGTGTGGTGATGGTGCCAAGGAAAAGGAGATTTCTATAATCCTTGTTAAAGAGATGACACCGATCACTTATCGTGAGCCACTCAGATGCTGTCATGTACAGGGAGGAGCCACCAAAGTAATCAGAAAAAGGGACCTGTGCCCTCTGGGACTGATCTCCAATGCCCCCAAATCCCTGCAACACCTATCCCATGCTTACAGAGCTGGCAGCCAGGTCTGGCAGGATAGAGAACATCAGTGTTGAGCATTAAACCATTCTGAACTCCGATTAGCAAAGGTAAACTTGAGAAGAGCAGTCAGGGGAGACCTCAGCTCTCCCTGGTATTGAATGCCTCTCAGGAAGGTGAAAATCATGCAATTCCCAGTATCAAAACTGCCTGATCAAATAGTGGTTTTTTCATCCACTTTATTGAGGTTTCCTGGAGTGTTTATAGGACTGAGGCTCACAAGTAAAGAAAACAAGAAAACAATGTAAGTGCTCCCAAACTCTGCTACAAAACCTTTTCCCTAAGAAGTTCAGGGCAGTTTAGCTCTCCTTTACGTGCACCTGCATAGTATAACACAAAATGCACCACCAGCCACCCAGACACACCCATCAAACTTCACACACTCCTAAAACAGAGAATTTTCTTTAAAGAGCATGTGCAAAAAGCTTGGCTAGTGAGCAGCTTTGTGTATTTAAATCTCTGGGTGTGCAAGTCTCTAAAACGTTCAATTGTGGCTCATAGAATGCTCTGCTTTACCGGGAAATGGATGGAAGATAAGAAAATGAGTAACCCAACTCTCAAAGTAAATTAGAAGGGGAGTAACCATATCCTTTTTGAATCTCCTTCAAAAGAAGTGTTAAAGTGTAACCGTGAGATAAAGGCCAATTAAGTAAATTCAATAAATCCCAGCGGTGCTGGCATGATACAGCAGCTACTCTGCATCCTCAGTGCACAGAGATTACGATGCTCTGAAGTGAAGGAAGGAAGGTATAAGTATTTTAGAGTTTTCCTTGTCAAACAAAATGTAATCCAATCCAGGCAAGTGGACAAAGTCTGCAATCATTCCATCTTAAAAGCCTGCAACTAGATACTGTGCTATATGATCTCAGAAAAATAAAAGGATTACTTAAGACTTGCTTTTCAAAGGTCACTGCTTCTGCAAGGGCAGCATCCTCTTAACAGAAAGAAGTCAAACCACAGAGCCTTTCCATTTGGAGTACAACATGTGAAAAAATAAATTCACATAAGAGTCAAGATATATAAAGCTGTATTATCTCATGTTCCTTATGTAAGCAGACAGAAGTCTTGTTCAAACCCCTGCCTTGACACAACAAAAGGTGGATGTACATGAATTGTTCATGTTCTGCACATATGCATTAATTTCTCAGCCACACAGTCAAGATCAAAGAAGGATATTACATCATTTATGTTTATGTTTGCCATTTATGAAAACAGCCATGCATGTGATGAAAGCAAACAGAAGATGTAACAAGGTGTGAAATTGCCAATGTACATTTTTGCTTTCCTGAGACCAAAAATTAATCAGGAAACAAAGAAAAGCATAGAAAACTGATTCTTCCTTTTAATTTTTTTGTTCTGTTTCTAACATTTCTTAAGAAGAGTAAAGGGACATAGCAAATAAATAAATTAAAGTTTCTGCAGGAGACACATCATTAGTCACATCCAAATAACTACAGAAAATTATTTCACGAGGAACAGACGTTTTAGGACATTGTTCCTCTGCAACCTTTGATAATGACATTAGCACTGAATTAGCCATCTAGGCACCAAAGGCCATATTTACAACATACTGTACTGTGTCCCACTAATATCTAACATACAATAATGCTTAGTGGAATAAAATGCTAATTATATTTTAAGAGAAACTAATGTTATCAGGTGAACAACCACTGTACCAAGACAAAACAAATAATCCAGTTTCTACTTTTCATGGTCTATCTAATGCTCTCTCCAGGCCAATTATTTTTGCCTTGGTATTTTTCACTCTGGCAGAAACAACAGCTAATGGCTCCCCATCTCACTCAGTCCCAAAGCCATAAGCTTTACCTGTTACCATATAACCAAACAATTATGTCATAATTAATGCACTTAATAAAACCAGGTATAATTGAAGAAAATAAAACCTGTATTAGTAGAGTAACCACAAGACAAGTAACTCTCGTTTCACTTCAAAAGCCTGGTATATTGTAATTTTTCACTCAGTTTCTAATTTTTTTTTTTCTCAGGCCTCTGGTGACTGAATTTAGAGTTTGAAGCAAGACTTGCCTTGTTCACCAAGTCTCACTAAAGGCATTGCAGAATTGCATGTGGCTTCAAGCAGTAGGATAATTAAAAAAAATATAGATATGTTAGTTAAAATAGAAACACTGCATGGGAAAGGAAAAAAAAAAATGTTCTCACTGTATTATCGCTTTGCATTTCTGCATGGGAACTCTTAGGGCAGGTTAACACCCAGTGGCTCTCTTAAGGGTACTTTTACTGTGAATATTACACCTGGGTCAGAACTTAGGATTTAAATCATAACTTGACTTTTGTTCTGCATTTTTTCATATCCCAAAGTGTACTCAAATTTGATAATGGATTTTAAAACTCTTTGTCCCTTAAGAACAAATGGCTGCAAACCATGCCTGTCTAGTTAGGCAAACAGACTGCGCCCCAAGTTTGCAGGTGCTTGCAAATGTTTTTCAACTGAGTCCAGGAAATGAAAGGTCCTTGTACCCAGTAGCATCAAATGTCATTTCTATTCTATCTGAGATCTTTTGTGGGATTTCAATCCTGCACAGGCCCTAAATAAGGCAAAGAGGTAAATTTTAGCCCCAGGATTAGAATAAATCCAAACACCTTGCCAAGTAGGAGCCAAATCCTAAAACATTGTTCATATATGTTCATATATTCATTGTCTTCTTTTGAATGATTCTTCAAGGTATGTCTTGTGTAGATGGGGACTTCATGTTAGTCCTTTTCTAAAAATATTAAATATCAAAATGAGAACACAATCTTCAAATTGCTTTGGCAATGAATATATAATATTTCTTCACAACTTCTACATCCCAAGATGATCCCCTGAGGTGCCAGG